AACTCCAGTCATCCTGGTTCGGCGATTTAAAACTTACAAGAAACCCTGTCCCATGTTCACGATGGGCTGGACGGGGGAGGCAGCGGCGGCCTCATTGACAATGGACCTGCGATCCGGTCAGACAGTGAGAAGCAGGAAGGTAAGAGTTCGCGCGCATCGCACCAGACATCCTGTCTCTGGCCAGCGACTCTGGCTGCCGGTTTGAAAGGGTCGGGACGAGCCGTGGTGGCCGACATCGCTCGGAAGAGAGACTGGCGGGGTAGTGTGGGAGTGGACGAGGGGCGCAGGAAAACGGCCGGTGAGGGCTGAAACTTGATGGCTCTGGTAGAGAAAATAGCAGCGCGGTGGCCAGAGAACATAGAGGCAGCTGGGCCGAGAAATTGGAGGAGAGCGGGGAGAGGAGAGAAGGGAAAAGAAGAGTGGCTCAAAAAGTAGCGAAGAGAGTCAGATCAGATCCGGGGGAGACAAGAGCGGGACTCGCTTTGGCGGCCGCCAACTATAATTGCGTGCTTTGCTGGGTCGGACAGCGCTGATAAGATACCGTTCCACAAGAGTGGATTGAAGACTGTCTCGACACGAGTTCTCTGTCACATAGAAGATCTAGTGCTTGGAGGAAAAGGGGATTAATTGACTGTCGCCATCCTCCGGCATGTGCATCCCTACCTCAAGTACAGCAATGACAGTAGCAGTGACAGTAGTAGACAGAGATGAGCTCCGATGGGCGCGATAACGATGAGTTCGGAACGGACCTCGGTAGGGAGTGCGCGAATGTCAACTAGACGCTATTAGAGACTGTCGACGAATCAATTGATGCAGTATGAATGAATGCTTTCTTGCTATTGACTGGAGTGATGTTCTGGTTGTAAATCAGACCGAGCATCGGAAGTGACGCATTCAGTTAACTCCTCAGGCACCCAGGCACAACAGACTCCCACTATTCTTAGTCAGCCGGCTTATCGCGCGCGTCGGAAACGCGTTTCACCACTTAATCAGAAAGTGATTTGATAGCTCCATTTCCCATGGCCGCCACTGGGAGCTGCTCTGCACCCAGCTTGCTGGTAGTGTTTCTGTTATAACTCTAATGACTATCCGCCATCATGGTGTCTTGTCCCATTTGCAGCCAGTCCGTCTCCTCCCTAAAGATTAACGACCATATCGATTCCGACTGCCAGAACTTTATCGAAGAGCCGTCCAGCTCGGGCGAGACTCCCGCCACTCAGAAAGCTCCGGTTCCCAGCTTCTTCCAGCCAGCCTCTGCGAAGAAAGCTACTGCCCAGTCTGCTCAAGCAAATGGACAGCGAGATCAGAATGTGACGTCTTCCCCCTTGCGCAACGTCAACGGCAAACGGGCGACACCGCACGATGCCAACTCGTCGGAAGTATACGAGAGATCTGGGCCTAGCCAACCGTCGAGTGAGCCAAAGAAACCCAAGGTTAGCGCCTTGCAAAAGGCTGCACCGTTACCGGAACGCATGCGTCCCCGGACTCTCGATGATGTCTGCGGGCAAGAGCTTGTAGGGCCAAACGGGGTGCTTCGGGGGCTGATCGAGCAAGATCGGGTTCCCAGCATGGTCCTTTGGGGTGGTCCAGGAACAGGGAAAACAACTATTGCTCGCGTGATTGCTTCGATGGTTGGTAGTCGCTTTGTCGAGATTAACAGCACCAGTACGGGGGTTGCCGAGTGCAAGAAGATCTTCTCCGAAGCGAAGAGTGAGCTCAGCCTGACGGGACGGAAGACCATCATCTTCTGTGACGAGATTCATCGATTCTCCAAGTCCCAGCAAGATGTTTTTCTGGGGCCCGTAGAAAGTGGGCAGGTTACCCTCATTGGTGCAACCACAGAGAACCCCTCCTTCAAGGTGCAGAGCGCTCTGCTGTCCCGGTGTCGGACATTCACTCTGTCCAAACTTACAGACGAGGATATCAGATCAATCCTTCATCGGGCACTACGCCTGGAAGGACCGAACTATTCGCCTTCGGAACTGGTCGATGAGGAATTGATTGATTACCTCGCCAAGTTCGCCGATGGGGACGCGCGGACGTCCCTCAATCTTCTTGAGCTCGCCATGGATCTGTCGAAACGGCCTGGAATAAATAAAGACGAAATCAAGCGGTCACTGACGAAGACTCTTGTTTATGACCGGGCCGGGGATCAACACTACGATACCATTTCCGCCTTTCACAAGTCCATCCGGGGGAGCGATCCGGATGCGGCGCTATACTATCTTGCTCGCATGATCCAGTCGGGGGAAGACCCGCTCTATATTGCTCGACGTCTGATTGTGGTCGCGTCAGAAGACATTGGGCTTGCTGACAACAGCATGCTCACGCTAGCCATCTCGACCCACTCGGCCGTGGAAAAGATCGGCCTACCGGAGGCACGGATCAATCTGGCACATGCGACGGTTGCCATGGCACTCTCAAAGAAGAGCACGCGGTCGTACCGCGCCCTGAACAATGCATTTGCTGCGCTAGCAGAGCCCGGCGTTGCTGGGTTACCGGTTCCCATCCATCTGCGCAATGCGCCGACTCGGTTGATGAAGGAGCTCGGATACGGCAAGGAATACAAGTATAATCCTAACTATGTCGATGGGGAGGTTGTCCAGGACTATCTTCCGGAGCAGATTCTGGGACGGAAGTTTTTGGAGGATCGCGATCTAGGGCATCAAGTGGACCCAGATCTTATGAGGTAGACTATTATGTCGCTGTCAATGAGGCAGAACAAACCTGCCAGTGCCATTGACCCACCCTCAGTTATCACACACACACAAGGCCACGCATAGCCAGCCTGTGCCTCATGGCATGAATATGCTTACACAAGACCACCTCGATCGCCTCGAACGTTGGCAGTATGCCAATGCCAGATCTGGGACGTAGGTCCGTCTGCACGGTCAGACGGATACCATCAATATCCATGTAGGGGTATCCAGAAATATCTTGCCCCTGTCCAGGCACGGGGAAGTGCACATCGGGCGATTGGATGTCAGTATGAGTAACCATGGAGGCCAGCAGATACCAGGGGTACATCTAGGAACAGCCTCACACATACTTTCCTACCGAGAACAATAGACCGTGGTAGAAGAAATGGATTTCATGTGATAGACCATAGATTTCTACAATTTAGACTTCTAGTCTACCAAGAAACAAGTACAAAGTAGGATGTTTCAAACCAAACGTGTTCCAGGTTAGCCTCCGCCGCCAATCAAACCGCCGCCTCGCGTCTCCATCGCGTCTCCACCTCCATCTTTCTCTCCTCTTCTCTCCTCCAGCTCTTCATCTCATCGCCCAAAGTCTCCAGATTGTTTACCCACTGCACCACCACCCCCCCCTTACAACCTGTCATTTTAGCCATCGCAAATCCAATCCCACTCTCTCAACTCCTTGCACCAACAACACCCCTCCATTGACTCTCACCCTCCATCCCCCACCGACCGACCGCGGTCGGGGTGCCCTCTCACCGACCTAAACCACACCACCAACAACCAAACACAATGGCTTCCTCACAACCCTTCGGCACGCGCTCCTACGCCTCCGGAAAACTCCCCGATCGATCCATCAACGCCAACGCCCTCCCCTTCAGCGCCTCCTCCTTCTCGCGACACCGCAGTCTCGCCGGCGCGCCCGGCGCTCCCACGGCCGGCGACTTCGCCGACCCCAAAGCCAGCCAACAGGCACCAGGTCCATCGCAAGCACCACCGCAACCACCAATGCATTCACAACCCCAACAAGACACGAATCCCTTGAACCGATTGACAGAGGAGCAACGCGAAGAGATCAACGAAGCTGTAATTACCCCCCTCTCTCCAAGTCACCCCCGTCAAACAACAAACACATACATACATACATACACTGCATCCTAGACGGAACAACACATGACTAACAAGATGATAAAAAACAGTTCACCCTCTTCGACCTCGACCGCGACCGCCACCTCGACTACCACGAACTCCGCGTCGCCTTCCGCGCCCTAGGCTTCACCCTCCCCAAACAAGAGCTCATCTCCCTCCTAACCACCTACGGCGTCCCGCGTCCCCAAGTCCAACAACAGCAACAACAAAACGCCGGCAATCCTCCCCCACCCCAGCAACAACAGAACCGCGCGGCAGCAACTACGAACCCCCAACACCCGAGTAATCTGCTCATGCCACTATCGGCCTTTCAGGCCGTCACGGCGCTGAAGATACTGGAGCGGGATCCGCGCGACGAGATCCTGCGCGCGTTCGAACTCTTCGATGAAGGCGGGAAGGGATACATTGATTTGGAGGATCTGAGGCGCGTGGCCAGGGAATTGGGTGAGACGGGCCTCGAGGAGGAGGAGTTGAGGGCTATGATTGAGGAATTTGATTTGGAGGGTGTTGGGGGTGTTACGCGCGAGGCGTTTGTGGGGATTTGTTGGCAGTGATTTTTATTATACCTCTCTTTCTTTAGTTTTTCCATCATTGGATATGAATGTGGATCGGGTGGAATATCCCGGTTTGGTGGGTAGATGGGAGATGGATGGTTGGTTTATTCTTGTTTACCTGACTGAGTTGTCCTTGGTGTGTCTGTGTTTTCTTGTTCACGTCTAATTATTTACCACTCGTACTCTGCATGGACTGGCGCCAATTGATTTGGGATTTTGACTGTACAATGAAAATAGGATTATCAGGCATTATCAATTACCTTCCTGACTGCTACTACTAGTACTATGCTATGGTCACTGTTACTTACTATACCTAAAAGACGGGAGTAATATATAGTTCGAAGAGTTCATTATACACGGCAAGAATACATACATCAGAACCCCCAACCATACATACCACGGCCCGTCTAATATGGGCAAGAAAGGGAGAGAAGGTAAACGAACAGAAAAAGAAAGAAAGATTGATCGAGCAAAACGTGAACCGACCCCGGGCACTGTATCCATTGATTGTAAGTTTAAAGAAACACCCAGACCCCATATAGAAAAAAGAACAACAATCCAGCACCAAACCAAAACTCTAAAACACGCCTCCACTCCAAGACAAAGAATGTTAAGATCAATTAGTTCAATCAATCAATCGTTACAAAATGCAATGCTAGTGGCTGCAAGAATCATAATGCATACTAAAGTCAATCAAGCGTACCGCCCCTGGGGAGACATGTATTGCGGTACTGGCTGGCCAGCTACACCTGGATAGGGTGGCGGCGGCTCGTTCCCTAATCCTTGATAGCCTCGCGCCGGCCACTGGTTCATGGGCGGCGGCGGGGGAGGTCTAGCGCCGGGCCAGGGTCCGTAGGGCACTGGACGCGGGACGGGTTTGGGGGCGCGGGCTTGACGACAGCGGTTCACGATGCAGGTCATCAGGGCTAGAAGGATGAGGGCACCTACGGCGCAGGCGACACCAATCACTATGCCCTTGTGGTTCTTGATCCAGGATTCGACGTTCTGGCCCTTGCAGTCGCCGTTGCTGCAGTAGCCGCCACTGCCACAGGGAGTGCCGTCGAGGAAGTTTTGGTTGACGCTGTAGCACGTGCCGATCTTCGGGGAGGTGCAGACCAATTCGCAGGAGGAACTAAAGGAGGAACATGCGTAGGTGTCGTTGCTGTGGAGGAGACTGCCCATTACACTGCGGCATTGGTAGTCCCGGCTGGTGCATTGGCCACTCGCGCAGGCGAGTCCCGAGCCACTGCTGCCGCAGCTGGTGCCGTCCTTCTTGAACGAGTCGGTGGGACAAGTGCTGGAGTTGCCGCTGCAAGTCTCTGCAACGTCGCAGTCGCCGCGACTGGCGCGACATACTGTCCCGGCTGAGGAGAATTGGCAGCTTGAACAGCAGCTGTCGTTGGAGTCATCACACACAGCTCCCGACTTGAACTTGCATGTCTTCGCGTCGCAGCAGTTGTTGTCGCCACAGCCATCTTCCCCGCCACAGTCGCAGTCTTCGCCGGACTCGACGATTCCGTTGCCGCACTGGCTACCAGTGTAGGTGGTGACGTCGCGGTTGGCGGAGAGACAACTGGACTTGACGCTGTTGCGGCCCAGGGCTGCGCAAATATTTCCGATAGTGCATTGCGAGAACGAGGTGATGTCTGTGCCAGTTGTGGGGTTCATAATGTATTTTGCGTTGGCATCGCAGGTGCTTGAGGTCAAAGGACAGCACTGAGACGAAGCTTCAAGATCCTGCGCACAGGTCTGAGAGTCACAGTCGTGGACGGCGCCGAAGGTGTGGCCAGATTCATGAGCAAAAATTTGCCAATCCGAGCCGGAAGACCGAACGACAACGTTAGTTCCACTGACCGTACTGGAGCCATCCGAAGAAGCATCGCTATTACAGAGTTGACCCAGCCAGGACAGTCCGACCTCGTTGCCCGTCGCGCAATCGCTCATCAAGGTCCAATAAGCATTGTCGTCCGATTGCTCACCGCGCCACTTGGAGAACAGATCCAGTCGGGAGGTGAGATTTCCGCTAGAGCAGGGCATGTTCCATGCCGTGGCTGCAGGCGGGTTGTCGGGGCACGAGCTGTCGGTGATGGTCAAATTCCGCAGCCCAATCGTAATGTTAAAGGACTTTTCGTAAACATTGGACGCGCTGTTCACAGTACTGATGACCCATTCCTTGGCGGCCGTCTCGTTGTTAAATGAGCCGGTAAAGGAGCAGTCCGTTGCAACGCCAATCAGAGCCACCTGTTTCGTGCTCGGACAGCCCGAAGTATCGCCAATGGTCGACGCCAGATTGACACCACCAGCATTACCGGACACACTTCCGATATCAGACTGGCGCTTGTTGAGTCCAAACAAAGAGTTCAACGACATCGCTCCCCACGCATCCGGTTCCGCCTGGACGTACGGTTGTAGCACAGGGTGGTTGGGGTTGGTGTTGAAGCCGAGCTGATCGGCTTGACACGAGGTTGATCCGAGCGACGACCGCTTCAATTCCGTATGTAGACGCACCATATCCGAATCCCGGTAGAAGATCATATAATCCTTCGCTGAGTCAGGAAGGTCGACATCCACGGGGCGTTTCTTCTCCATGTATGCCGATTTCAGCTGAACGTGATGGTTGTCGCCGTCGACACTGAAGACTCCCTCAAACAGTGGCTCCGAACCATCCTGCTTCAAGTAGATCCGCGCCCATCCGACCGGATCCCACATGCCTTTTCCTCGCCCGAGTAGACTCCTCCCCTTGAAGACCTTGTGCTCATGTCGGGCAATGGGCTCGTGGCGTCGCACGTTCCCGTCGGCGTCGAGGTACTGTACGGATGCGTCTTCTGCCAGAATGTCGTGGTTGGGTTCCAGCTCCAGCTTTATCCGCTGGTGCGTGTCATGAATATTGAAGGTGATGTCAAAATGGTCAAGGTGATCGACCCGCTGCGAGGGCGTCTTGATGGTGGGCTGGTCAAGCGTCGAGACATGACGAATGGCACTTGGAGCTTGTGATCGAGCTGCATTCATTCAAGTTAGAACAGACCCATGCGCCGGATATCGCCGAACTAACCTTGTACACTGGCCCCAAAGAGTGATATAGCACTTGCAATGAAGGGCAGGGAATAGGTTAGAAACCGCATGGCTGTCAGCGAGTGAAGACAGCCGATGGGAGATGTTGAAGGTATGCGCTGAACGAGTGTGCTGGCATCAAAACAACAGCGAGAGATCCGGAAAGTCAGGGTTAGCAGAGCCCTTCGGTCCACAGCATCAGGCAGCGACGAAAAGTGGAAACGAATGAGTTCCCTTTCACGGCTGAATGGGACCCGGTCGAGATCTTGGCTCGGGATCCGGTCATGTATGACGGATCACTCCGGAGATTAAGCTGCACTGGAGGGGGTTTTATTCTTCCCCGGATCGTCGCAGTCTCTCACACCTTCAGAGGAAGTATACTGGAGGTGTGGAGAGGGAGAGAGAGAGAGGGAGAGAGAGCGACGGCGCAACAACCGGAGTGAGCAGTGAGACTCACTTGACGAGGGAGTGAAAGGGATTCTTCCAGTTGGCGAACCAAGGAGGTTTGGCTTGGCTGAAGGCGCAGCCGCCTTGGCGGGCGGGCGGAAATCTGGAATGAATGGCGAGAATCTCCCTCCAAGTAGTAAACAAATACACGTTGGTCCAGAGGGAAACCAAGAGCGAGTTTAATTCAACGAGAGTGAATTGAATTGAGAGAATAGAAGATGATGGATGGGAAAATAAAGTGGAGGGGGTGGAAAAGGCGGAGGATAGTAAGTAGCGAGGGTCTTGAGGAGAGGGATTGACAGGGTCCGGTTCAGGGATTGCAACTGGACCCCGAATCAACAACAACAACAATTCATCGCTTCTCCGCTTTTGGTTGTCGCGGACACCCGCCAAGCCTCCCGGCGCTTACGGATCATCGCTCATTATTCTGTTGTCTTACTATAACTCAAGAGCAATCACCACTCATTCCTGGTGTCAATACTCTTCAACCATGGTGTCATCATTTCCCCCGCAGTTTAGCGCCCGGCAACCCCAAACCATGGTCAGTCAGTCTGGAACCAAATGAAATGCTTCGTGTGCCTCTCGGGCGAAATGTGGAATCATGGCGCCGCAGACGCCACATGCTACACAAGCCATGCCATCTTCACCATCGCTCTCTTCCCATGCAGCTTCCTCCACTTCGTTGTCGGTCACGGCTGCACCGTCTCCACGATGAAGGGGTTCCTGAACGTGAATCATCGTGCCGCTGTTACCCGTAGAGACAGGCACTGGCCCAGAAATGGCCAAGGCATCGTTGCGCCGCGACCCTTGGCTCTGAAACATCTTACCAATATCGCGTCCACTGCTTTGCTTCCGTTCTCCAGCTGCCTCTACCAGATTCGTCACAGCGACATTCATTAACCGCAGGTTCCACCCAGATCTCTCCGGGTGAAGCTTGCGGAACATGGACAGTAGCTGATCTTGTACCAACCGTTCAGCCAGCGCGTCTACACTCTCATCAAGATGAAAGACATAGCCGGGCAGCGGCGCTGACCGAGAAATTCTCCCCCCATGGTAAGCTTGCGCCGCATTGTCTGTGGCAGATCGGGGCCGGGTGGACAGCCGCAGGGTGCGTGGATGTGCGAGCCATCGGATTTTAGATACTGCAACTTGGTTTGCTGCTGTACTGTCAGTCTCCCTGTCCTTCTCTGTCAGATCCGTCCGCATCCGACGAAGTAAGCTCCCTGTGAGCGAGACTAGCTCTCTACGGACGCTGTCGAAACTGTCCAGGCGACCGTAGGAATCTTCAATGCTTATCTGCGTGGGCAATTCTCCTGCCTGGACGACCTCGGTATTGTCTACGCCATGCAGCAGTCCCCAGACCCGCACCCCGATATCTCGGGGTGCCCCTGGACCCCCTAAGATCCGACTGAGCAGGGACGGGCCCATGCCAGGCAACAACCGGATGTCTCTCACAGTCACCTTGTCAGAGTCAGCGGTGTCGTCGGCGGTCACCGCTGGGACTGAGTGAGCGCCTTCATCAGCAAGATAGTGACAGAGTTTCCGCGTCAGTTTGGAGCCGATCCCAGGGATCTTCCTGATTTCGTGCGCATCGAGAAAATTCAGCACATTACTGGGCGCAGCAAGCGTCGGTGTAGTATACGGTGGAAGCAGCGTGGTCTGGTTGTTCGGTTTATGAGTGCTGCCTGCGAGCTTGGCGAGAAGCTTGGACGTAGAGATCCCCACTGTGGCAGTGTACCCTTTCTGCTGCTCCAGTTGACCGCGAAGGTAGCCTGCGAGGTGCGAGGCCACCAGCAGTCGAGTGTAAAGCCAGGCTGATGCGTCTTCGTCAGCTGTCGCAGTCGTCGAGGGCGCAGCGGCAGCGACCGTATTCGAATCAGCTGGGTAAGTGGAGCCACATAATCGGGTGGCATCATAAGTGAAACCCACGGTGGGTTCGTGCCGGTCTAGATGAAAGAATGAATGTTCCAGATCATAGCGATTTAACAGATCGACATTGTAGTTGATCATCTCGGTGACATCCAAGAACAACTGCAGGCGGGTATTAGATGGGATCGCGAAGAAGCTCACTGCAGCCCAGGAACCCGTGGAGAACCACCTCAACGGGCAGTCCTGACAATGAAATCAAGTCTGTAGCAGAGTCGAAACTAGCAATACATACCTCATCAAACCCGAGTCTTTCGACCTTCTCCCCCCAAACGAAGGACCTAATGTAGAGGAATAGATCCTTGGATGCATCGCGAAATCTAGACAGATCTTCACCTAAGACAATGACGACGTCCGGGCAGATCTGTTTGGCCTCTTTGATCAACTGGAGCTTGCGCAACCCGCGCCGGCGGGCCTCATAATTACAGGTGACTACGATCTGTTTCTGCTGGACGGCCAACGGCAGGGTTTTCAGCACCGGCTGCTCCACCTCAAAGACCGAGGCGTAGAAACAATCATAATCCTGTGGGAATTGCAGAGAGGCAGTTAGCTAACGGCCGAATGGAGTCACGTTTCCCGTAGGGTTTTTAAAACGTTATTTTTATTTGAGTGCAGTATGGATCACTATATGGGTAGCGTGACTGACAAAGTGGAGGATGATTCGACGGTCGTCTCTAGATGGTAACACAGCCATGAACTATTATGTAGCATCGACTGAGAGAGAGCCAGTGGGGATCGGATTCCAGGCAGACCTCAACGGAGAGTTGTATTCCGTCTGCTACCTTGTACTTAGTCCCTACTGTGTCCGTAGTAGGGAGGCGAAAAGGATGTTGCGAAAACCTCCGGTGGATAATATTACCGGAATGCAGAGGGCTGGAAATGGGAGCTCAAAAAGGGAATTTGTCCGTCCGCACCTGTCATCAAGTAGCGAGAAGAGATTCGATAGTCAACCAAGATAGATCCATAGATAGTAGGATAGATAGTGCGATGCAACATTCTGTTTAGTGCGAATTGCGGCATCCAGCTGATTGGGCAACAAACCTGCGGCTGGGATGTGGCTGGTGCAGTGGTCACGCTTCGGTCGCTGGGTGGCTGGGGTAAAGCCCATTCAGACTTTCTGGTTGGTTGGACCCTGGCTGACTCAGTAAGTGCGTGACCATGACACTAACCCAAAGGGGTGTTATTTCCCCACAGTCACTCGTGCAGGGACTATCCCATTTTTAGAACACCGCGTCAGCTGCAGTTTTGATTGGTCCGTGCCAGATGCAACTGCCTTACGTAAGGGCGGCACTGTGACGCGCACCTTTTCCCTTTTTCCTGCTCCAGTTCAATTGCTATAAATAACGTCTCTCAACTCGTGCCCGGGAACGACAACCCAGCAATACTCCAACGTGGAAATGAATCAAAACATACACTCATGGTGGATGTGAGTCAACACTAGGCAGATTTCTAGCAGAGACATGGCGGAGATCAGACTGCTGGAGGAATGGATCGGCCGCGTGTCTCGCCCGGGCGTCGATGGCCAGAAGATGGCAGATGGAATGGAGCCGTTGGAAAGATCGGCCATTCTCGATCATCGAAAAACTGGGGCCCGTCGGCGGCGGCGTCAATAGTTGGGTTATAATTAGATGGGGAGCGACTAGCCGGTCGGTGGTCCAGCAGAGGAGCACTGAGACTGTGAAGACATGCCTGAATGGAGATGCTGAGGATACGATGGAGTCCAGCGACTCCATCCAGCCCGGCTTGGATGGTTGGATGGTTGGATGGTTGGATGATAGGATGGCGAAGACTCGTAAATTTAGCACTTTTGATTAACAGTAATTTCTTAATTTCTTAATTTCTTTAATTTCCCTCCCCCGCGGCTAAAAGATAATTTTCATTTTCATTTTCATTTAACCCAGTTTCCTCTTGGACCGACTTTAATCGATCTTCTTCTGCCTATCCTCTGGCTTATCCTCTGGTTCCAACAGTCACTTCTTCAACATTCCAGCAAACCATGAGTCGCAGATCATTCTAAAATAAGGCGACCCTCGTACAAGTGCCCACGTCTCTTGTCTGCTTGGTTCCAGTGCTTGGGATCCCACCTGGTCTTATTTCAGAACCTTATCGTCCCTGGATTTAACGCGCTTGGAGCCGGTTGTTGCACTTCTGCATCTTGAATCACACTCCGGTGCTGTTGGCAAGGCGCTACTGCTTCTGCTTCGTCTTTGCTGCTTCTTGGTGCGGGGCCTTACTGTTGCATCCCCCCAAGACCTCGCTTTCTGATCTCATTTCGTTTATCCTCCTCTCCTTCCTCTCTTCCTCCCTCTTCTTCTTCTTCTACTGCTCCCTCCGCCGTTGTGTTTGGGGGCCTTCGCCATGCTCGCAACCCCCATGACCCCGCAAGCATCCCACCCTTCGTCTTCTTCCTCCAACATGGTCTGCAGTCTGGCTTCGACTGCGACCACCACCACCACCTCCTCCTCTTCATCCTCCTCATCCGCCAGTGCCACACAACAAACTACGATATCATCCCGACCGAAGTTGACTCTTCAAACTTCCTCTCTTCCCCGAACCTTTGGCACATCGTCAACGGGGTTGTCCCTCTCTCTCGCAGCCGGAACGGCATCTCCAACCGTCCGCAATACCTTCAAAAATGCCTACGAGGTCACCGGCCCTTCATCCGCCACTGCCTCTCCGTCATCCAAACACCCATCCAACCAACGTTTCAGCAAACCATCCTCTCCATTTACCACACACAACCCATACCAACTCCCACTGGGGGTGAAGAGTATCTTGCGAAACTCGCCGCTCGAGCCGACCTGCCGCCGACGGGCTGGATCGGTGGCCACTACCGGGCCGAATGGTGGACCGAGCGCGCGCCGCGTCTTCTTTCCCGCGAAGAAGCAGGTCAGCTATCGCAATCCCTTAGAAGAGGAAATTCAGACCGTGCACTACACGGCACGCCACTCTGATTTACACGATGAACCCGAGCCTGCACTCCAACCTCAACCTCAACCTCAACCTCAGCAACCAGAGGTGACCTCATCAGATGAGGACTCGGATTCAAACGCCAGCGGGTGTCCCTCAGATTCCAGCACTTCCGAAGATGAGCCCGAGGCCGGCTTAGGGAAGAAGACATCGTCTCCCATTAAACGGAAGAAGCGCAAACATTCCAATGCCGAGAGGCAAGTCCGGGCAGTGGCCTTGATGGACGGAATCGCGGGACCCAGCAACCCAGGCAGCCTGACACCGCAAACGCCGCGCAGGAAGCGAGCTAAACGTCGCTGTGAATGGCGATGGACCCTGGGACCGTTAGAGAATCGTGACAAACTGCTTCATCCCGTCCAGGATGAGACGGGCTCAACATCATCCGTGTCCCAGCCTGAAACGACACCACACGAGTCCGAAACGGAGACCCCGTCCTCTGACCCTCCGCTATCCAGCGCCAGTACCACACTCTACCACTCCAGCCCCAGTTCATCTGTCTCGTCGGATGTGGAAACGGAAAATGACGAGTGGCAGACGCACACCACCCACGAACTTGAATGCGCACATGCCGATCAATGACGATAACCCATGCTTGGTTACGAACCCCCTTGCATTGATGATCATGAATTATGCATATAGACGGCAGATGAACCACAGCATACCCCATCCTACTTTCAGACATATTGCTAGATAGCTATTATTGATTTGGGATTTTCTTTTCTTTTCTTTTTCTGGTCGGGAAGCTCTACCTTGAATGTCAGGACATTCATGCCATTTACATTCACCGACCAGTCAACTTTTTACACTTCTGCCTACTTTCTTTATAAATATTTTCATAACTTCTTCCAATAATATATATATTTATATGCATGTGAATGCAACTTCTGACCAGATGATCACATGGCTACATTCCACAATCACCCGTGTAATGCTTGTGCTACGTGCCTGCCGTATGTTCATGCAGCTCCATGCTTCATACAAATCATAAATACGACGGTCGATCTCTGACGCATTCCCCATCCTATGCTTAATATAGCAACAATAATAACATGCGGAGACCCCATCATATTAACTTTCGTTGATCGTCATTGCGTCATAATATCCAACTAATCTATCTAGTAATAGTTGCATCGACTTGCAGATCATCCTTTAGATAGATCTTATGATGCCAGCCAGCCAACCCTCAGACTTTCAAGAGAAAGAAGAAAGAAAATAAAAGAAAATAAAAGATCAAAGATAAATAGCTCATAGGCTATTGCCAACTCGGTCAGAGCTGCAGACTGTTTGTCGAGCCAGGACAGAAATGTAATAGCCATGAGCTCGAAGGTGTCGCCTTCTCTTCTCTCGCATATTATGATAATGAATTCTATATTGTTGACAGGAAATCCAAGAAAAAAATTAAGTCTATGGGTGACAGATATCCAAGGGCAAATCAAAGACTAGAAATGGTAACAATCCGCGAACAAGAGAAACCACGTGTAGCACCTGACCTGCTAAGCAGCAGCAGCGGGCCGCTCCATCATCTTTCCCTACATACTTTCTCCAAAACTTTGAACCTCCATTCTCGATTATTCCCCCAAGGCGATCTCTAGTATCCTTCAAAATGCATACGTTTTAGATAGGTCCAACCTGCATAGGTTCAATCGAAAGGTGAACGAATGCTGTCATGGCTGACGTTCATGCGGATCTGCGCAGTACGACAGGGACTGTTTTCTTCGAGCCATTAGCAGAATGCTGCGCATTTCGAGATCTACCTCGATGTCCCGCCAATTGCCCCCCGACGTAACAAAGGCGCGCCATTTTTCGTCGCCCTCGATCATATCTCGCATGAGAGTGTCCACGCAGTCGCCACATCCGCCCTCTTTAACTGATAAAGATTCAGGATGTGCCTTGCGCCATTCATGGACCATACTCAATGTCCGTATCAGGGTCTCCAGACTACCAAGGGTCTGTGATGCACGCATTTTTATAGCTCCTGGCGTGTTGGAGACGCCAGGCGCATCATCATCGGCAGGAATACTCACCAACCTTGTAAGGTCGGTCCAGTTAGCAAAGTCCCGGCATTCAACGGGATACATCCATTCATTGTTGAACACTGATATCCCTGGTTGAGGCCAGTACGGTACCAGATCCTCAAAAAAGAACTTTTGCACGGCCCGATTAACCTGCGGGCGTCCCATTACAACGTAATGGCCCCAGTTCCAGAAAACAACGGTACCCCCCGGCCGGACTATCCTTGTCATCTCTTTCCAGAGCGGCTCAGGGTCGAACCAATGTGCTGCTTGACAGGCGATCACCAGATCAACCGTCTTCGATGCAATGAAGGGGAGAGACTCTGCATTGGACTGGTTATATTGAACATTACTGACGTCCGATTTCTGAGCTCTTGCTGCTTGCTTCAACATGCCTTCGGAGGAATCAACTCCAATAACAGATTTGAAATGGGTGGCCAGCGCGCGAGCCACAGCCCCGTGGCCAGTGCCCAGGTCGACACATAGTTCGCGGGGAGACTGATGGTAGGTTAAAACAGTGTCGTACAGAGCCTGGGGAGGGGAAGGGCGATATGCAGCATATGCTGAACAGTCATAGCCTTCATCCCTTGCGGAGCGGAAATAGGCTCATCAGTATGTCGGAAATTATAGACATCAGGGGAAAAACTCACGAGAAACTGGCCATTGGTTAGACGTGATGTAACCTTTCGCAGATTATATTATCAAACTTGAGTCTTCCCTTTTGATCCTGTCACCGAGGGCTAGAAGTGATTTATATACTAACTCATGGCGTGGATATCGCTCCGCCATACCTTCCTACGGCTCTTATGCTTAAAGTATGCAGCAATGTGCGCAAGCCTCATGAGATAACACGACTGTTCCACATACCCAGTTGCCATGACAATTCCACTTTTCTTTTAACATTTCTAGCTGGATCTGGTCCAATAAAGGTCCTTATCTGAAACAGTAGGATTCCCGAGTGACGTTGCATTTCGGCCTCTTCCGCGGCGATATCTTTCCACGGATGCCACAAACTGTCTCAGCCTTACTGGAACTCATTTCCGCTTAGGGAATATATTGATGTCACAGACTTCGGCTAAGACCGAGGATTCAAGCCCGACATATGTTTATTATGTGGACCACGCCTTTCGAATGGCGGATGTGTATCGCGATCAGTTCAATTATCTTTCAGACTCCCGTGGCTATCATCATGCTGTTGCAGACCTTTGGAATAGGACCAGATACAGTGGGAAAGGATGGATCGAGAGACTCAACTACATGCCCCCAAAATGATCGGCAAACCTCGAGACATCTTAGCATGACAGGACCCCTACTAGGAAACTCCATATCGCCCAATCGGCGACGAGCGCTCTTTGAGACAACTAAACGAGTACTCGCCAGTGCGATAAACGATGGGATAGCCTGCGCAACCCTTGAGTCATGTAACAGCACCAGTCTGTTGTTGTGCTTACGCAGTCCCGGAGGAGCCATGGCCAGTGATGAAGACGCTTGGATCATGTGCGGTATGCGAGCTGACGCATATACCGAAACAGACGGTGGCAGGTTTCTTGGGTTTGTGCGGGCGGACGATCTCCTGGAGCCTGTGCTAAGCCGGAACCTCAACGGCGAGATATCAGAGGAGCTTGACCCTGGTGTGATTTGTCGCGTTATCTGCCGCTGGCGTTCTCGCCAAGATGAAGAACACGCGGTAGAGACGCTTGTAAAGGAGGTACGGAATTCTGCAAACAATCAAGGTGAACCAACAACTATGTTCAACCTAAACGATTCAAAGATAAGAACTAATGCTGAGACAGAGAAATGGTTGGATATGGCCAGTACTCTGCCAATCCTACATCTTAAGTCTTCACTATGTGACTGGGAGCAATCAGTCGTATCTGGACATCCTACACATCCGGTACTACAACAACATTTCCCTCACCTTGCCCTACCTACTCGCCTTAGACTTGAAGTTAACCTTATCGAAGTTACACCGAGCCTGCCTTGCCCAGTCACCCCTAGATCCCATCATGCCCGATGATATCCCTTATCTACTAGAGCCCGAACTATCATTCCTCTGCGTTCCGAAGTCAGACATGAAAGTCTTCGGACCATTCCAGTCACTTCTGGACCCACTCTTAACGTCTCTTGGGATTCCCAAGCCTGATGATACAATCAATGAGATCGTCATACCGTGTTTCAGTCGCCAACTCCCAGCTATCACGCCACTATTCCCGAAAGCACGCATTCTGAGGGCTGTCCAAAACCGTTGCCGAGCACAACTCTCCATGCGGACTGTCTCTATGATGCCAGACGTAGGCGGCTCCCCGTTGCACCTGAAGCTATCACTGAAATGTCAGATCACATCTCGTCTGAGGACCATATCCCCCGATGCTGCAGCTTTGGCACCCGCAGTGGGGAAGATTCTTCAAAGTTTACTTCCCCAGGATTTATGGATATTTGAAGAAGCAGCTTCCGTTACAGGTGCCCAGGAAGACTTCGATAAAGCCTGCCAATTAACATGCATTATTAGAAAGAGCCCAGAAAAACGAGCGGCGGACATCGGGGAGACACTCATCCCCGTTGCGGGACTATTGCGGAGACCTTTCAACGATGATCGAACGTACATGGAGATTATATTTGGTCTTGATGACTTGAAGGGAAAACAAGCCTGGTTCAGAAAGTAAGTAGTAATGATACTATACCCTTTTTGTATATGAGTAATCTCTATTCATCTTGAACGAAAAATGACCAATTAAACAAAAGATACCTCACCAAATTGTTCTCCCTCATTTTCCCCCCTATGATCCGCCACGGAATCTACTTCGAAGCTCATAGCCAAAATATCCTCGTCCGCGTGAACCTCACAAGCAAGGAGATAAGCGGGTTCGCGCTTCGCGACTTTGACGGAATCGGAATCCATTATCCTACGTTTCTTCGCCATCCCAACAACAAGAATGCCCTCAAAGAAATACCTCCCGGTGCACGTACTCTTACTAATAACTTACCTAGAATGTGGCAGTTGGTGCATCATGCCCTTCTCCAGGTACATGTGGGTCACCTCTTATACATGTTGGGATTAGAATCGAAGGGCGGATGGCGTATTGTGCGTGAAGAACTCGAGAGGGCGCTGAACCCTTCCGGAGATCCAGATGGTCGGGCATTGTATGACTACTGGTTAAAAGAGACGATGTTGTCTAAGTGTTTTCTGGAGATGCGGTTGCGGGATGCGTATGCGAAGGTATGTTTTGTATTTTTCTTCTCTTCGTGGGATCTCGAGTGATGGATGTGTCGCTGACGGATATAACAGAAATATGAGAGGGAAATGCCGAATATTCTCCTCCGCGACGTTTGAGTTTGTTGCTGAGTAGTACGAGGGACACTAGTAACATAATGGTGGAGGGATAACCAGGTCATGAATAGTTGTACGATAATGAAATCTCACGTAATAGTAATCATAATGGGCAACCACTTCTCTTCAATTACTTGCCGTCTTCCTACTTACCCCTGGGATCACTGTTCAGTCCATTCAGCGAAGAATTCACCTCAACCATGATAGTGGTAGTGGTATTGTCGGTAGTAAGAAGTGAAAACAGTCTGCACACCAAGTTAGTAGGCATTAGGTAGGAGGGCATTTGTACCATCATATGCTGTATGGTTAGTAGTAAGATATTGTTGTTTATATGATATACCATGATACATCAGTGCTATTTACAGTTCTCCCATCTCCCATAACAAACTAGATGAAAGCCCCCAAGCTAGCGAGGATTAAGTCAAATAGACATAACCCTGGAATCAACTTACTAGGCACCGACATGAATGAACGTCGCCCAAGACAAGGGATCCCTATTCTTCTGTTTGACCTCACCCACAGCACGATGAAGCGCCGTCGCTACAATCCTCCCATCATCTCCGTCCCACTTTGATTCCGGCGCCAACAGATACTCCACTAAATTCTTGTAGAACCCCTCCGCAACGGAAATTGCTGCTCGATCATTCGCCTCCCATAATGACCCGATTACATGCGGGAACCCCAGTAACTGGAAGGTGCCGGCCAGGTGGATTGCCTCATCGATGAGCGAATCACTGGCGTTCTCTGCCGTCGAGCAAGCCGATAGATAAGCTATCTGTGCACGGGGATGAGAGACGTTTGTTAGTTCATTGATAGTCAGAAGCTCTGCAGGAGCTTGTCCATCGGCTCCGTGGACCGGAGCAGGTCCGAGGAATAAACCGCCTGCCGCGGGCTCTAGTGGGTTTGCGTGGCCGTGACAGGCGAAGTGAACCAGGTGATAGGCCGCTATAGCTTCGCAGACTGCTCGTTTGCTCGGGTTGGAGAGAATTGTTGGATGTGGGATGAGTGGGCGGACGGTTTGCGAGATAGCGGCGAGCTCTGCGGTTGTGTTAAGGGCTGCTTTTCCGGGCGTTTCGGGCATTTCAATCATGAGAAGTTGCGGGTTCACTTCCAGATGACGGTTGCGACTGATCTCGCGCGCGTGCTGGAGGGCTTTGATGGTAGGGGTGTAGCTTGATATGACGAAATCGGAGGTGCTTGGACCCTGGGGTTGGCCTGCTGCGTGCAGGGGTGCTAGGCCCATATAGCCGGTGCATAGCCACCATACGCGTGGTAGGTCTGAGTTAGTGGCATGACCGGGATTGAGATACCCTAGGTGTGAGAGGACCGGTTGGACAGCTATCTCCCATATCCAATGTAGGATGCGTTGGAGCTCTCGTCTGCGGCGGGATCGCGAGCTGGGCTTTCCGCTGGACAGCTTGTTACTGCCCACGAGCTTCCGCATATTGCGGACAAGGTCGGCATAGTGAAGATTAACGAGGTCGATTGCGTCGACACCCTTGGAGGTGAGGATTAGGGCGTCGCTGCGATGCTCAGTGACGTTGAACGAGATGATTGGTCCGCGTAAGGCAAGCTGCAAGAGCTCTGCTTCCTCCGCGGGCAGGAGAAACCGCTCAAATCCAGGAATCTGGCGGATTGTGGTCTCCATCTTCTCCAACTGCTGAGAGCTCTCACGGTGTTGGGCGAGTTTGGAGCTCATGCTCTGCGACGAGGTTGACGGGGATGATGAAATTACTAGATCGCTGAATTTCTGCACAAATGCGTTATCACGCAAGCTGATATATTGAGCATACAGCATACCCTGATATTAGCGCAGTCGGGAGATATCGCTGTGTAAGTCGATTGTCAATCCTGCAATCACCCCACGGCCTCCTTCAAGTACGTGGAGGGCAGCCCCCGGGGTTCCACCGGCATTGAGAACTGCGGAGGCGGCGAGACTCGAGAACCCAGTCAAACGCTGGATAATCCGCTGCTGGTCTTCGCGTGGGAGCCACCGAAGAACCAACTTGGGTAGCAATTCCATGACAGCTGTCGACAACCTGGACGCACTGACCCAGTTCTTTCGCTGAATTTGGCAGTGGAAAGCCCGCTGACCGGCTTCTACGCGGTCTAGAAGTACCGCGTGTGGAGCGTTCAGAGCTTCCTGAAAGTATTGCAGCGCTCGGTCGAAATCTGCATTAGATGTCTCGGAGGCGGCTCGTTTGGCGCGAGCTATGTATTGCTGACCGTGGGTGTCAAGGATCACAGCCCTGTGCGGATGACTGAAGGGAATATTTGCGACTGCTAGCGCACTGGAATCAATTGCCTGGCCGATAACCTCTTCTCTCCCGATATGCTGGTATTGCATCATTAGGAGCCGGCCCAGGCCATGAAGTACCTCCGCCCTTCTCGACCCCTCGCCTGTGATCAATTGGACTGCTTCTCGAAAAGCCCGTATGCCACGGTCGACGTCAGCCGCAGAGTCGGTCTGCTGCGCAATATGCCCATACAGAACACCCGCAGTCTGTAAGATGCGAATTCGGACAGGGTACTCTGGAGGCAACCAGTCCAGAGTTTCGGTAACTTGGACAAGAGTCTGTCTGACAGCTTCGAGATCTCCCCTTCGCTCGAAACTCATAGAGGCCAGCTCCCCAAGCCCCGTCAGTATCTCACAGTAACCCTCCGAGTGCGACGGGCTTTGCTCCAGAGCATCTCTGGCTAAGCTGATAGCTTCGTCTAGGTCAGACGCCACTGTGGTTCGCTGGTGCCTCAATCCCAAAAGCCGTGCAAGACCGTGAACAACAAGAGGGCGCTTATAATGCTGCAGAGGCATACTATCAACGGCACTCCGCGCCAGATCAATTGCGGCAGATAGATGGCTTTCCATACCTGAGGCCTCATAACGAGCGACGTGGAGCAATGCAAGATGGTATCTTATTCTTGGTCTTTTCCAATGCAGGCTGGGCGCACATTCAAGCGACCTCTCCATGTATCTGATGGCATCTGTGATTAAATCACCAGAAAGCTGTGCCAGAAGTTTCCCTAGCCGATAGTATATCAAGAATCGAAGGGATTTATATTCATTCTCCAGCAGATCCTTCGCAGTAATCAGATAATGAAGGTGCTCACCGCAATCGAATGACGATGAATATAGCCGACGACAAAGCCCAATTAGTTTACATCGACTGAAAAAGTCCTTGGGAGTGGCTAGGGCACCTTCGAGACCGATCTGTGTCTGGGTTAGCGTTGCCGTTGCCGCCTCCCGGTCAACCAGGGATTCTGTCCTGTCAAATTGCGCAAGCTGGAGGCTAGCAAGGCGAACAAGAAGTCCCTGTTGATGTACATCATTGGCAGGTATACGGGCCAAAACTTCCTTGTGTGCAGCTATTGCTGCTGATCTATCTCCGCTTCGCCGAGCCTCAGTCTTTAGCATTGCGCAATGCTGGTCCCATAAAGCGAACACGGAAGGATGGTATTTCGGCAAAAGAGCAATTGCATTTTTTGTGAACCGGGTAGCTTCATCTAAGTCGATGAAATTGCTGGTAAAGAGAAATCTCTGCCACATTAGCTCTCCTAGAACACCCTGCAATCGAGACTGAGGAAGCCACCGGCCACCTGGGACGATGGCATCTTGAGCGGTGGAAATACCAGTGCCGAGATCTTCCAGATCGCCGGTTGCAAAATGTCTAGTCTTCAGAGCTATCCCAAGGGTATATGTTATCTCAATCTGAGAAGGATGCGTCGGGGGAGCTAGATTCCGGGCGCGATTAAGAACGGAGATCGCCTCGTTGAGGTCCGCTATCCGGTCTGATCGCTCGAAAGATTTGATCATCAACTCTCCCACAAGGGCAAAGGCTTTGGCTTTGCAGGGGTGTCCCTCCGCCGCCATTTCGACTGCCAGGTTGGCCCACATGACTGCCTCGTCTTTCGCAGATTGGTGGTCCTGTTCCCACAGGAGTCGGGCCAGCAACTGTAACCAGTCGGCTCTATCAAGCCAGCTGAGGCTTCTCGATGTTGATAGTACCTTGCGGGCTATTGAAATGCCTTCGTCACGGTCAGAGGAAATCTTGAACTGCTGGTAGATCGCGTAAAGAGTGGTAGCTAGAGTCCATTCACGCGGAGACTTCAGATCCGCCGAGGAGCGAGTCTTGATATCAGTGATACCGCGTCGGAGCGCCTGTATGTCACCGAAAACATGATACAGCATCGAATGCATGTCCAACCACATAAAGACCGCAGGGCTGTCCAGTAATCGCGGTCTACCGTTGTAGAGGTCCTGCATGAGACCGAGAGCTTCACGCAAGTCGATTACAGCCCCAGAAGCGCCATATCTCGCCGCCAGACACATTGCCAGCGTTTCAGTTGTCCGGATTTCCGGGAGAATTGCTTCGTACAAGTGCAGACGCAGGTCCAAGATGCCCTCGTCCAGAGTCTCTAAATCAATCAGCTGCTCATTGAACATGAGGCGAAGGATGCCCGCCCAGGCAGCTTTTGACGTCTCCTTAAAGTATTTCACATCAAACCTCCGACCAGGGATCTCGCGCTCTATTGCGTCATGGAGGATATTCTCCGCCTCGTACAGATCTGCGACGGATTGAGACAGCCGATATCGTGACGCAAGCAGATCACAGAAATTTACATAGTAACTTGACAGGAACCCTCCCCGCAGCTCTTCATACGGGTTCTTTGCGATAATGGCGCGGAATCGAGTGATCTCTGCGTCGAGTTCATCCCGCGAGAGTGGTGGTGGGGAGTTTCTGCGCCGGCTGGATGCTGCATTGCTGGTGGTTCGGGCTTTCGCGTCTCGGCTAAGCCTTCGTAGATGCTGAAAGGAGCGATCCCAGATTGTACTGTTGCAGATGAGCAATTGCTTCCATCGGTCGTTGTCAAAGGTCACATCTTATGGAAGGCGACCTTACGAGTTACGGCCTTTTTGTTGTTCTTTCTCTTTCTCTTCCTCTTCCTCTTTTTGTCGTCGTTCTTCCCTTTGAAGCGAATTGGATATCGTGTTATTATTTGTGGTAGCTCCAGAAGCGTGGGCCATTTGAACATGTAATACTGGATGGAGGGAGGTGATGGAGGTGAAGTGGAAGTAAAAATGGAAAAGGGGCGAAGGTGATGGTTTAAGTACAAAAGGGATCCAACCCGTGTTCAGCCTTGCATTAGCCTGAGAGGTGTTTACCCTAACAGTATGTAGACTGTGGTTATTGCTTGTTCCCAGCCCGCTAGACTACGACTCGGAACTATCATCAACTTCAATGCTTTACTCTACACTTCTTAGCTAGCAATCATCATCCTCATCCTCATCTTCTTCTTTCTCTTCATCGTCCCCGAGGAAATTAACCTCCATCGTCTCCGTCTCGCTAGTTTCGCCCGCATCGTCAAGATCCACCTCCACGCCTTCACTCTCATCGTTCTGGATCGTTCGATTACCCGACACCATAATCCACGCCGTATTTCTCTCCAGCCGTGCTCGATCCACATTCCCTGGCTCAAAGAATCGCAATCGAACTCTCTTCAACCTCAGCGCCAAAATCTGCTCCCCTGTGGCCGAGTACTGATGGCTCACTCCGGACCCTCTCTCTCTGTTCCCGCCAACGCGAACACCACCACCCAGTGCCTGAAGACCGGAATCCAAGATATTATCGGGGACAGAGATATCCACCGTCCGTTTAACTTGATCATTCCGGTCGATCGACGCTGTTGAGTCGACCACGGTCCTGATTCCGACCACAAAGTATATGCGGTGCCGGTTACCCTCCTCAATCTGATGTTGGATCCACGCACGCACGGCGGGGCTCGTGCATGCGCGCTCGAAAACTTGCATCGGTTGGCGCAGGGTGTATAGGTAGCTCTGTTTGGCGAGGACGTGGGTCTCTGTCGACTGTGCGGAGAGTGAGGATGCGCCTACGAGTCGGGCAATGAGAACTTCGAGGCGGGAGGCTTGGTGGCTACAGACTGAGAGGGTGACATTGTCGGTGCACGATACCGATAATTCGTGCTCGGAGAGGGAGATGGTATCGTTCAAGATGTCGAGATCAAGGTCGGTGACATTTGGGATGAACGAGCCGAGGCTGATGTCGGCGGGAGTAATGAGGGTGTCACGGAGGACCCAGCGCTGCGAGTGCGACTTCATTTCACTTTTTGTAGATATTTCCGCTTTCCTGGGTTACAATATTCTACGACTACCCGGTATTTAGAGGGGGCGATTCATATCCTCTATGAATCGTGACGGCTGAATTTTCGTCATGCTCACAGCCCCATCCGCAGTTGCATCCTGCACCACCACGTCGGCATCCGATTGGAGGCTAGTATTTGGAATACTAGTAGCCGATCATCGTTCAGCCTTGCCTTCTGACACAGCCTCTCCTCTCCCTCCGCCCGAGGGTTGGTCTGACTCTACGCTCCCCCGTCATGAGGCATCGGTGGATCACCTCAGATGGATGATGCCAACCCTCATCCTTCCATTTGCCCCAAATACTTCATCACCGTTCCTTTATCATCAGGAGTGCTCGCAGTGAGAAATGACAGCTTCACGCTGCACCTCAGGCTCCCTGGTATTTCCAGCGAACAGGCAGTCGAGAGACAAGCGCGCGCGAAGATGCACTACCCTTCGCATCCCCCTGTTCCCGCGCCTACGAGAGCATCGTGGGGCGGTGCTTGCTGGGATACATCGTCATGCGCATCGGCTGTTTCGTCGACCTTCATGCAAGCTTGAGTGGTCCAAGATCATGTACCGTAAGGGAAGGACATACGCCGCTCGAGGCCGATGCAGGGCAGCAGAAAGATTGCTACTTGGCGCATTGGTCCTCTATCATTCCAATCGTTACTCCATCAGCCTGAATGCGAGTTCGTTTGCGGAATCCCTCAACTCCCAGCCAAATGACACAATATCTCTCATAAACCACCTTGAACGTCTCGCAGACTGGTACGAAACCCACCAACTTTGGGACGAGGCCTGGACCTGCAGGACTGTCGTACTAACTGAGAGCGTTCTTGCTTTCCCACCGTCAGGCGAGAGAGTCAGATTTTGTACTGTCCGTCTAACTAAACTCCTTTACTGCACAAAGAAAGTCGACGAACTTAGGGATATTCTACAAGGTGTCTTGCGGGCACAGGATGAAGAAAGGCCAACGCCGAGCCTCGCGCGTCTAACTACGTTGTCTGTTTTAAGCATCACATACTGGGAACTGTTTGACGAGAAAAACTCAGCAGAGGTCTGTGAGCGCGCACTGCGTGAGAAACATGCGCTTGACGGTCAGAACGGGGAACCGGTGGATCAGTCCATTCTCAGTCCATCACTTTTCCTGCTGCTGAGTAGTTTTGTTAACGCACCGGAGACGCATGCGATTCGAGATTTGTTTGCGTGGTTAGACGAGCGCGGGTTGTTGAAAGGGCGGATGAATGGGGTCTTCTGGGGCGTATCTGGTGTGGCGCGTCACCATGAGAGAAGAGGAAAATTTGGACCTGCGGCCCATCTGTATGAAGTCGCTGTTGAGTATTCAGAAAGAATAGGGGCCGAGGGAGAGGACTGCGTTGCATTAGCCCTCTATGGTTTCCGCACGATGTTCTTCAAGGATAATCTGAGCAAACTTTACATCCGGCTGAATCGACGAGCCACTGCGAGGGAGCTGTTGGCGAATGCGATCAAGAACGACAGCTCATTTCTGTCCCCAAAGAGCCTACATGACTTTCGCGTGCGGCTTGCATGGCTTCATAAGCAGGAGAAACAATGGGCCGAGGCAGCCGCAGTATACCGAGAAGATATCCATGCCTTGGAGACACACGAGATCCAAGATTATCGTGAACTCCGACGCATCAAGGGATATCTCGCCAAGTGTCTCATTGATGAAGCAAAAGCCGGTCAATCCGGGCCAGGTACTGAAGAAGAAGTCGAGTCAGTCGCTCGCAGTAGAGCCAAAGAGTCCATCTCTTTACTGCTCGGCATGCTGGAATCTTATGGGACAAGGAAGGTTACGCCGGTGGACATAGGGCAGATAATAGAAGATCTGACGTGGGCATACCATACACTCAAACTCGAAGATCCGACCGAAGAAGCCTACAAAAAGGCCGCCCAACTACTTGGAACGTCGCAGGCCAACGAGAACCTCGCGGATCTCTACGTGCGTCGCGGTAGGCTTGCCGAAGCAATTCCCCTGCTGTCGTGCAGTCTACAGGATTTAATATGGCAACGTGCGAATAACGATGACAAGAATCATGATGATCGCATCGTAGCTGTCGCCCATAAATTAGTCTGGGTTTACAGTAGGCTCTCTCGTCTGGACGAAGCAACTGCCGTATGCCATCAGGTGATTTTGGTGAATGGGTGCCTACGAACACGGCAACGCCTCGGACAGATTTTACTTAATACAAAGAAGTGGCGTGAGGCTATCTCTGTTCTAATAGCTCTTTTTCAGGTCACAACAAAAGTACCAGAGCGTACATTGGACGCTCGTGACGCAATTCAGGACTTTGCCTACGCATGCCTAGAGTTGAGTCAGACTGAGGAGGGAGGAGGTAAGGATAAGGAGACTCTGAACTCATCGTACACGCCGTCAATGAGGCTTGTTGAAGATATGCTCGATGGTGACCGTGCGGCGACACTTCAGTTTAGGGAAGCGGTTGCACACGGTTATCTCACTCGGTGGGACGCCGTTAAGGCAGCCACAGTCTTCGTCGACGTCCTTGATGAGTGCGGAAAGCAAACTGGATACAGGAAGATAGATTGGGACACTCATTACGAAATGCAAGGGCTGCAAATGGCTCAAGATATGTATGAAGCCGCCATTGGCAGGCCTGGCGTTGACGCGCCTATCCTCTGGTCCAAAAGAAGGCTTGCCAATGTTTACCACGAGCAGGGAAAAATCAAAGAGGCGGCCAAACTGCGCGACGATGTTTTCCAGCATACGGAGACACGAGAAGATTGTCAGCACTCTCCGGCTCTATCCGCTATTCGTCGTTCTTTGGGCACGGACTACTACAACTGCGGTGAGTGGGTCAGAGCCGAGAATATATTCCGTTGGATGATCGAGGCAGAAGAGACGCCAAATGGAGCCGATAATTTGGCTATATTATCATTACAGAGCCAGCTAGCTCGTATAATCCGTGAGACCGGCCGTCATGATGAGGCTATCGCTCTTCTGGTGCATGTGGTGGAACAGCTTGAATGTGAGCATCCCACCGCGCATAACACCCTGCGGAGCGCACGGGTGCGCCTTTCCTCGACTTTTATGGACATTGATCTTTGCGAGCAATCTGCTGCCGTTTTCGAAAAGGTCCTAGCAACAGACGAGGCGATCCTGGGCGCTCAGCACGAGACGACAATGGATACAATGAGATACCTCGCGAAAAGGTATTACAGAGGAGCTAATAAAGACAAGGCTGAATGTCTCCTGCAAGATAGTCTAGCAACTAAAGTTGCTACCCTAGGGCCGAGTCATAAGGCCACCCTTGCGGCACACTTAGCCCTAGCGGAGCTGTATTTTGCGGAGGGCAGAGACAATGAGGCGGCGTCGATGTATGCCGTTCTGAGGCCGGAGCAAATAAGGGTCGGTCGTTTTCAGAGCAATCTGACCTTACGCTCAATATCCAACTTGTCAGCGCTTTTGCTTGATGACTCATTACCAGAGGATATGCGACTGAAGTTAGTGTCTTTCACAGAAGAGCTGCTCCAGCAACTGCGCTATGAACTTCCAGCGGATCATCCTGTGGCGCAAGACATATCAGACTCTATCTGCAAGTATTACTGTGAGCATCGCAAGCTTGAAAGCTTGACGAATATGGTACTCATGGTTCTGGCGTGGCGTGAGAAAGACCTGGGTCAAAGCCATCCACTGACCATGCGGTCACTGAAACAGGCCGGATGGTCACTCGAGCGGGCCGGCGAGCACGAAGGCGCTAGAGAGCTTTTTAAGCGTCTGGTACAAGTCAGCACTGATTTACTTGGGGCAAATCACAGTGATACGATCACTGCGGCTAGACTCTTGGAGAGGGTCGAGGCAGGCCGTCTGGATGACAATCACGGTTTCCACCCGTTTATGCCCCTTCCGGTAAAACACAAGCGGTTCCAGGAAGAGGAGGGGGAAGAATCAGAGCATGTGGACATCTCAAACCCGAGTGAAGACAGAGAGACCGCCTTGAATCAAGCAGAGCTCCAAGCCCAGCGGGCCCTGTATCGCAAGGAGATTCAGCTGGGAGCACTGCATCCGGAGACATTAACGATCGCATATCAGTTAGGAGTGCTATACCACTCACACGGCAAGGCAGACGAAGCAGAGGCTATGTACACACGCGCCTTAGAAGGTCGGAGACGTTCACTAGGCGAAAGAGATCATGCGGTGTTAATGGTGATGAACTCCCTTGCCGAACTGATGACAAGCGTACGGAGCATACAGCGCGCCGAAGAGCTCTATCGCCATATCCTCAGCTGTACCCCTGAGGACCTGGACCTCGACGACCCCGTCGCCCTAGCGGCGACGAACGGACTTTCTCAGGTTATCTCTCGGAAAAAGGGACCCGATGCGGAGATATCATTCTACGAGGACTGCGTCCGTTCAAGAAAAGAGCACCTGGGACCAAGACACTACGCTACTCTCGAAATCCTCTTCAAGCTAGCAGAGCTTAGTTCCAGTCGAGGACGTTTTGAGAGTGCTCGAGGGCACTTTACAGAGTTGGTGGAAAGCCAGGAGGCGCAGTGGGGTGCTGGGCACCCGACAGTGCTAGCTGCAATTCGCCAGCTCAGCTTGTTGTATCGCAAAAGCAGCATGGAAGCTGAAGAGGTGGAGCTCTTCGAGAAGGTATCTATTGCTCGCGAACAATCTCTTGAAGCCGATCACCCTTACACCCTGGACGCTTACCACCATCTCGGAGTGCTGCTTGCTCGAAGGCATGATGGTTCACGTGCGGAGGCAATGTACCGATGGGCGCTGCGCGGACGAGAACATACATTAGGCATGGATCACCCTAGCACCCTTGAATCTCTTTCCAGGCTTCGATCCCTCTTAGTCGACCTGGGGAACGAAGATGCCATAGACGAACTACTCGGGAAAGTCCGAGAGAAACGACATAAGCAGTTAGGTCCGACCCACCCCCTCTCCCTCAAAATCGATCACGAGCTGGCCATCCGACTCGTAAAAACAGACCCCGGAACTGCCCAATCAATACTACAGCAGACACTGCTTGCCAAAGAGGAAGTCTTAGGGATGGATCACACGTCGACACTGGACACCTTACACGTCCTCGAGGGCCTCCTATCCGACCGCGACGAGGATAGAACACTACACGAACAACGACTTGCACTAGCTCGCGAAGAAAAGCTTGGACGAGACCATACTCTCACACGCAGGGCCATGAGAAGAGCCGGTATTTCAGCGTTTCACGCAGACCACAATGAGGAGGCCGCATCACTCCTAGAACGGTCCATGAACGATGATCCCGCGATCCACCGTCGCAGCGACGCCTACGACATCTATGCCTTGGCCTGGTGTTACATGAATCTGAGGAAAGTCCCGCAAGCCGGAGTCTTACTCTTGAAGGCACTACGAAAATTACCGAGCATCACCGACCCTGGGGTAAAAGCGTACGCAGAAATCCGTCTTCTGATGCGGCTTGCCCAAGTCTATAAGCGGCAGCAAGCTTATGAGGCTACAGTATCCACATACGCAAAGATCTTGGATGCGTTGGACGACAGACTAGTGGAAGAGGAGAATCCTGGCGCTCGGTTAAACACCCTCAGTGCTCTTTCATCGGTGCACAGATCCCACAGATCGTGGAGCGACGCTATCGTGACGGGCGAACAGGCTCTTCGATTAGCTGAAGATGAGAAGGGCAAAGAGCATCCTGTTACATTGGAACAGCTGGAGATGCTCTGTGAGGTATACGATCTGTCGGGCAATAGGCGGAAATCCAAGGAGCTGCGGAAAGAGTTGGATAGACGGAGACCGGCTCCGGAGAAGCAGTCTTTCTTTAAGCGGTTTTCGCGGACTTCAGACTGAGGAAAGGTTGTGAGAATATGTTTTCAAGATTTAGTGCAGAATTTTCATGTCCATGCCCTCTCATTGGTAACTATGAGGATTGAGACATGGACACGGGGGTAAACGCCTTATTAGTTCTGCCCTGAGCTTACGTGATGGGCATGGTCTCTTATCAGCTCTCCTCGCCTTGATAAAAGCTACTAGTACCTACTGCTGCACTTATCCCAAGCCAGTCACTAGCAACCTAGATGCACGCAAATGGACTCCTCCCCTCGTGTCTCTACCGCCTGTGAGACCTGTCGGAAGCGGAAGCGCAAGGTGAATTTCCACGTACACGTGCATCCCAAAAGGGAGTAAGGTAGATAACAAACCCACATAGTGCGATGGTCTGCGTCCAGCCTGTTCTTCCTGTCTGGCCCGGAACACCCCCTGCGAGTATAATACAGAGAAGCGAATCAAGTTGGTATCCATTCTGATCTACGTACATCGTGCTAACTGCCACCTACCTTAGGCGCAGAGTGGACCTCAACTACGTGCGAACGCTGGAAGACCAGATCGCGGCACTGAAGGAGCAATTGGCACGGGGACAACCCCAGCCGCAGATCACTGTCAAAGAAACTGTGTTGACTCCTGTTGACCATCGCGGTGAGCGGGCCGGCGGCGACGATGATGATGCTGTTGCAATAATCCCGCCTAGCATGAGCACGGCGATCGAGGATGTCAGCGCCCTCATCTGGCGCATGAGCATTGACAACAACGGCGACGCATCCTTCATTGGGCCGTCCGGCAACTTTTGCTTTCCCGTCGTGCATTGGGACGATGCGGACCTTGGTCATGAGAGTAGGACCACCAGGGTCACGGCCGCATCAGCGATAAGCGCCATTCCTGGGCCAAGCAGTGTGCAGCAGCAGCAGCAGCCTATGATGTCGGACCAGGTGGATTGGCATTTGATTGATTTGTTCGCGCGCTTTATAAACCCCATCCAGCAATTTGTCGATCCCGAGACGCTGCACATACTCCGCGGAGATAACCTAAGTCCAGGTCTCCGACTAATCAAGACCGCTGTGCTGGCGGCGGGGGCTCTATTCGCTGATGATGCGCGTAGCAAGGCGCTCGGTGGCGAGGCAGCCGCTGTCGTCGATGCCACGGCCCTGCAGCTGTGCCGGCAATCGCCTGACATCTCGATAATTCAGGCTCTCTCCATCATGTCATGGCGGGAGCTTAGCTTGGAGCAGCACAATATGGCCTGGATGTATAATTGTGAGTGCTGGTGCTGAAGAGACATGAGATGGGACAGACGCTGACGCTCGTCTGCAGCAATGTGTGCCAGTCTAGTTCTACACCTAGGTCTACCAGCTAGCATCACGCCGGATATTGGTGCAGGTAGTCCTGAACTGGGTCATTTCCCCCAAGATACGCGGCGGCTGCGGGCCCTTTGGTCCTCAGTGTTTCTTGACCGGTTCGTCAACTGCATGCATTCCTTGTCACATTAAAGATGCCAGCTAAACAAGTCGACACAGAATTGCAACGTCTCTATTAGGCCGGAATTGTCTGCTCCCATGGAAGCGAATCAAGGCACCCTCATTCCTCAGTGCCGTGGGCCCTTCACCCTCGTTGGACGAGCTCGCCTTTGACCACCAATGCCGTCTCTGGTTCATCCACGATCAATACATGGATAACATGTACGCCATAGCCCTATCCATTCTATTCTCGAAACGAGTACCAACTAACAGCTCAGTTACTCCTTCAACTTCTCCGAACTTAGCAGCGCCGACAGATCCCTCGTCCTCCTAGACGCCCGCGACAAACTTCACTCCTTTTCGCAAAACATCCACCCCTCCCTGCAGGTCACCACGACCAAGCACCCACCCCCATCAGCCATCTACCTCCACATCTCCTACCATACCTCCTACATCCTGGTCCACCGCCCCTACCTTGCCAACGCGGCCCAAAGCACCCCGCCTATCCATCGCCTCGCCTTCCGCTCTGTCTCCACCGCTGCCCGAGCCATCGTCCGCCTTCTCCGCATCCATGCCAAGATCCACTGCTCCTTTACTGAGATCCCGCCGTTCATTGTGCACAGCGTGCTCACAGCCGCCGTGACTCACCTGTGCAACACCACGAACACGACGCATTCTACCCTGCGCAGCCAGGCGACGGCGCACTTCCGGGTGTGCTTCCGGGCGCTGCTCGCCATGCAGGAGAGGTGGGTGAAGGCGAAGCGGGCGGTGAGGCTGTTGCAAGGGCTTGCACGGAGGTGGCGTGTGATGGGAGCTTTGCCGTTGCAGCATGGGTTCGAGATGGATCGAGGAGGTGATGAGCAGGATGAAATAGACGATGAGATGGAGTTGGAGGGAGTAGACGCAGATGCAGACGCAGATGCAGACGGCGACGAACCGCGCATGTCAGACATCATCTTCCCCGAAGCCTTCTTCAACTTTGATACAGCAGATGCCCAGCAATGGGAGTTCCTTACAGAATCGGCACCGTTCAATCAGATATAACGTTTCTGAAATGAATTATTCAACTAGCACTACCTCACTTTCAAAGATCATCCCCCACCTCCCTGACATGCCTCTGATCCCTCCCCCCCACCCCCAACCACAGCAAATCCGGCCGACTATAATGCCCCACGATATCCACAAACGCCTTAGCCCTATATACCTGCTCAAAGTCCAAATCAGCGTAAATAATCCCCTCCTCCGTCGGCGGCAGCGCCTTCGACAAAAGCCGCCCATCGGGCCCAAAAACCGCCGAGCTACCACCCCCGGGAGTATTCATAATCGCCCCCGTAGCAGTCTGCATCAGATCAATACCCGCTTGACTGATCACTGCCGTGGTATGAAGCACAAACGAAGAAGACTCCATAGCATACGTGCGAGCCAGCACCGCAGCTCCTATCACACACAAACAATTAGCAACTTTCTCCAAAAAAATACCCCCCCCCAGGAAGGATGAAATATACATACCCTCGCCCGACATCGAAAACAACCCCCCCTCATCCCCCTCATCCTCCTCCTTAAACAACGGCGGCCACGCCGCCACATGAACCGCCTCCCTCTGCGCACACATGTAATACTTCAACAGGGGCTGAACATGCTCCCAACACGACAACGCGCCCACCCTGCCCACAGCCGTCTCAACAACCCCAGCCAGCCCCGTCTCCGCATCCGCATCCCCAAACACCGTGCGCTCCATATGCGTAGCCTTAATCTTCCTCCTCTTGGAGAGAACCTCCCCCTCGTGCGAGATAATCGCCTGCGAGATGTACAGTGAGTCGTGGACGTTCTCGGAGAAGCCGAGCACAACGGTTATGTTGTGGGCTTTGGCTGCGTTGAGGATTCGTGCGAATTCGGGGGAGCTTGTGCTTAGGGAGTTGCGCATGTAGAGCGTGTGGAGGGTCGGGGAGACGGGGCGGGTCCTGTATGTACATAGTATCTTGGTTTTAGTTTATGTTGGTTGATGGGGGATGGGAGAGGGGAGACTACCATATCCACGCTGGATACCCTGGGATCCAGCATTCGGGGAAACTGATCAGTTGGGCCCCCTGTGAGGCGGCTTCGGCGATCAGAGAGCAGGTTTTGGTGATGGTCGCGTTGAGGTCGAGCCAGATGGGCTCGCTTTGGGTGACGGCGACGCGGATGGTCGGGGGTGGGTTGGTTGTTGGGGTTGTCATGGTTGTGGTGGTGGTGGTGGTGGTGGTTGTTGTTGTTGTAGTAGTTTGGAGTAGTCGTAGGCGAATTGAACCTTGGTGTTGTATTACTAGGTTATATAAGGCGCTTGGGAAGGCGATGAGTATATCTGAATTACTACTGGTATGGAAACAGCTCTACAATATCAGTCCGGGAGGTGATGTTCCGCCTAGGGAATCTTGGGTGTGAGTGTTTGGGTGTGCTAATAGGAAGTCAAAGTCAATCGTGTGTATCGGCCTACTATCAACTATCTTGTAGTTTGGATGGATATCATGGCGTATGTGGAAGTTCCGCCGCTAAAATCATGTCTGGTCTTGGCGAGGTAGGATGCGATAGCAACATGGTAATTGCATAGGTTTGCCTGCTTATCTGCAAGAAACCATTAATAAAATTACAAAGTTGGATGAAGGAATTAGATACGGGAGTAACAGAGATGGAGGAGACTGGGTAGTGGAAAGGGTACACTACTGTAGTTACTCAATCCCACTACAAACCCTAGTATACCGTCCACTTCAGTGCTGAAATCGAATTGGACACATATAAAGCAATACCTGAATTTCTAGCCATAAAGCAACTTAAATCCTGAATACAATCACTTCCTCTGCCTCAACCGCTTTCCCCAAAAGAACAATGGTAAAGTCGTAAGCATAACCCCAACACTAACAGCTCCAAACGTCGAGAAGAAAACCAACACCCCCTTCTCCGTCACGAAATCATTGAACACAAACGAGAGTCCAAACGCAAACGCGCTCTTGGCCACCATCGCCAACCCAAATCCCTCCCCTGCCCGCTCCCCCAAAACATCATTCGTATACGCCACAATCCCCGTACACCCCATTCCCACAGCAAAGTTCACAATCCCCATGAACAGCCCGCACACGACAGCGGAGAGTCCCTGCGCCGTTGCGGCGCCCAGCCCAAAGGAACCTGCAGCCATGGCCATCGTCGCCGGGAGTATGACAAGCAGTCTATACTCAGGCTCGTAGACGCCTCCATTGCGGGATGCCATGAGCTTGCTGCTGAGGTCGCAGGCCCAGCCACCGATCACAGTGCCGAGGGCGGACCCGATAAGTGGCGCAATGCCGGTGAGATTGCCAACAGCGACGGTAGACATGGACCAGGGAGGCGCGGTGAAGATCTGCGATGTGACGGCGCCGAGGAGGATGGTCCAGGTGAAGATCACGGACCACATGATGCAGGCCTAGAGGACGATAGGGTCGAGGACCAGACCGAAGGGCTCGATGAGGGCGCGTAGGAGGGAAGGGTGTCTCTCATCCTCGACCTCCATTATCGGGGATTGGAGAGAGACAGCTTGGGCCTTTTCTGCTTCTAAGTTGTCTGAAACTACCTTGGTTGTTTCTGTGGTCGTGGTATCGCGGTGGAAGGTGGTTTCCGGGAAGAAGAAGAGCACGGCAACAAACAGAACGCCGAAGAGGATGGCTTCAAGTCGAAATGCCCAACGCCAGGAGAGTGCTGAAATGACATACCCGCTAATCACCGGGGTGAGGTTGACCGAGACGATCACAGCGAAGTTCCAGAGGCCGACGCGCCGGCCGCGCTCGTGCACCGCGAAGACGTCGTTGATCGAGGCTGTGCCGGCGAGGGCGAAGAAGCTGCCCATTCCCAGACCTTGGAAGACCCGGGATGCAATGAGCGAGGAGTAAGTCTTGGATGCTTCAGCCCAGCAGCAGGAGATGAGCGCCAAGAGGGTGGTAAAGAGGTATACGGGGCGCCTGCCGAAGCAGTGAGCGAAGGCAGAACAAACGTAGGCACTGATTCCCAGGGCCATGACTAGGCTCCCGTTCAGTAGAGTCACGCTGGTCAGGTCGACCTGGAGATCAGCAGCGACAACCGCGAAGCCGGGCACCAGTAGAGGACCCAGAGAGCCGGTTGCACAGGAACCTAGGATGATTGTAGCAAAGAGGAGCTCTTTGCGTACATGGCTCCATGTTAATGGATCCGTGCGAGAAACGGATCGCCGTGACAGTAGCTGAAGCATTCTGAAAGATGAAGAAGAAGACTGTGGTGGAGAATGCTAGGACGATGCTAGCTCTGGCGTGCGCACGTACTCCAGGTCTTATTCTTATACTACGAACCTGTCAACTGGGCTAGGGAATGAAAGGGGTGATAACGGTAGAACGCTTATCATGTGGCGCTGCCATGTTGCGATTAACATACTTATCACGGCGGATGATCTGCTTCCGCTGTCTGTACTTTTCTGTCGATCCACGAGAGATTAGGGCTCTTGAGTCTAATAAGGCTATATAATTGTTGCTTTTTTTCCCAATATGAAACTACTAGTACATGCACAGCAACGAAAATGCGCCCATCAATCGGCTGGAAAACTTTTTACGCTGGTTGGGCCCTGGCCTCAACCGGCTTCTGCACTAGCAGTGGCCTCTTGGCTGACCTGCAAGGTATGCTCAACTTACCATCTCTTATACTCACCAGCTAACGCTTCTACTACAGTCGATCTCCAAGAATGGGCTTCAGCATACAACCAGTCCGTCGCCGCAGTGGCAACCCTATCCAATGTAGACAAGATCCGGCTCATCTCCGGCCAAAGCGTGCCTTCCATCAACTTTGAGCCCTATACAGCCGACGACGGCTCCCAAGGGCTAGAGAGCTTCTTCTACGTGACCTCATTTCCTGAATCCTCGGCGATGGCCCAGACCTGGGACCCCGAGCTCATCAAAGCCAACTTCCATGCCGTCGGTCAGGAGTTCTACGGCAAAGGCTACACCATGATCAACGGTCCAACGGTTGGCCCACAAGGCCGCACCCCCTGGAGCGGCCGTCTAGTGGAAACCCTAGGTCAGGACGTCTACCTGGCCGGAATTGCATTCGCACACGCCACCGAGGGCATCCGCGAAGCCGGCATCATCCCCTGCGGCAAGCACTTCCTCCTCAACGAGCAGGAAACCAATCGCTCCGAAGTCTACTGGTCCAACAACGGAGTCACCGTCCCCCTCAACAACACCGCCTACTCCAGCAACGCCGACGACAAGACCCTCCACGAAGCCTACCTCTGGCCCTTCTACGATGGCGTCAAAGCCGGCCTCGGCGCCGTAATGTGCGCCATGAACCGCGTCAACGGGACCTACGCCTGCGAAACCCCCAACCTGCTCAACAACATCCTCAAAACCGAACTGGCATTCCCAGGCTTCGTCACCCCAGACACCTCGGGCCAACACACAGCCCTAGGCTCTGCCAACGCCGGCATGGACTTCGGCGCTACCTCCTTCTGGAACCCCCAGACCCTCCTCCCAGCCCTCGCCAACGGCTCCCTCTCCCAAGCCCGTCTCGACGACATGGCCATCCGCAACCTCATGCCCTACTTCCAGCTCGGCCTCAACACCAAAACAATCCCCCCCAATCCCCCGGCCACAGCCCCCGTCGACGTCCGCGCCAACCACCGCGCCCTCGTCCGCAAAGCCGGCAGCGCAGCCATCACCCTCCTCAAAAACACCAACAACACCCTCCCCCTCCACAACCCACCCTCCATCGGCATCTTCGGCTCCCACGCCCGTCCCACGCTCATCGGCCCCGGCACAACAATGGACGACGTGCACACCCACACCACCTGGCCCGGCCACCTCATCTTCTCCGGTGGCTCCGGCATCAGCAGCCCTTCCTACCAAATCACCCCGTACGACGCCCTCCTCTCCAAAGCCCTCCAAGACGGCACCCAACTCATGTGGGCAATGGACGACGACCTCCCCATAATCCCCTACACCGCGGTAACCGGCACAATGGGAACCTCAGCAGCGCCCACCTTCGCCGGCTACGCCTCGGCCGTATCAACCTGCCTCGTCTTCATCAACGCCTGGAGCGGCGAAGGTCACGACCGCAGCGAACTCCGCAACATCCCGCAAGACAAGATGATCCTCACCGTGGCCCAGAACTGCGCCAACACCATCGTAATCATCAACACCGTCGGCGCCCGTCTCCTCGACTCCTGGATCGACCACCCCAACATCACAGCCGTCCTCTACTCCTCCCTCCTAGGCGAACAATCAGGCAACGCTATCATCGACGTCCTCTACGGCACCGTCAACCCCTCCGCGAAACTCATCCACACTATCTATCGCCCGTAATGAATCAGACTACCCCGTCCCGGTCTGCATGACCGCAGATTGCGATTTCACCAAGGAAAAGGTCTACCTCGATTACAAGTACTTCGACGCGCACAATATCACCCCGCGCTATGAATTCGGCTTCGGGCTCTCTTACACTACTTTCAACTATTCGGTCCCTCCTGCGATCAGCTACGTGAATGGTTCCGCTCTTGCCCATCCCATCCCCACGGGTAAACTTATCCCTGGCGGGAAGGCGGATCTCTGGGACGAGGTCATGCGGGTTACGATGAATATCACGAATACGGGGGATAGGGATGGTGCGGAGGTCGCGCAGCTGTATGTTTCGTTTCCTGAGGAGGCGGATCAGCCGGTTAGACAGTTGCGAGGGTTTCAGAAGGTTTTTCTGAAGTCGGGGGAGAAAGGGTTGATGGAGTTTGGGTTGAGGAGGAGGGATTTGAGTTTTTGGGATGTGCGGAGGCAGGAGTGGGTGCTTGCTAGGGGTGTGTATCGGTTTTGGGTTGGGGCTAGTAGTAGGGATTTGAGGGGGTGGGTGGAGTATGTTGTTGCTTAGATTTTGGTAAGGTGTATTACCTGTGCTGCAGGGCACTTCGATTAAGGTGCTTGGTAAGGAGAAATGAAGTACTATACACAGACTATCGTTCAATCATACACACGTACATGCATACATACATACATACATACATAGAAACCTACATGATTAGAATGAAGGGCTTATCAAGTCCCCGTCTCCGTCTCAATATCCGGCTCCCGACCCGCCAAATCACCCGTAAACTTCCTCTTCACCTTCCTTAGCGAATACTTAGCCTCGTCACGCGCAAACACAGCATTCCGAACAGGTCGCCACTGCATCTTACCGCGATGTTGACGCTCCTCGCTGCGTTTATTCGCCTTCTTAAGGGATCCGTCATCTATACTGTACATGCTGGGAGGCCCGGCACTGCTGCTTGCGCCGCCAGTGGACGCTGTACTCTGTGAGACGCGTTGCTGCTGATTGGGGTACTGATCGTCAGCCATGTCGTCCTCGGTTTCGCTGGATGAGGAGGATGCCTCTTTCTCTTCTTGCTCTTGTTCTTGGGAGTTCTGGTGCCGGGCTTCTTCATCGTGCATGGTGCCGTAAGACTGGGCGACGGTGGGAGGTGGGTTCACGGGGTCGTGAGGTGGCGTCTCGCGCCCCGGTTCGGCCACTTGGTGGCCGTGGTTGTTGAGATAGGCGCCTGGGTCGTGGCCGAAGGCGCCACTCCAGTCTTGGCCTTGCTTGTCAATCCAGCGGCGGCGTTCGCGGGGCTCGGCGTGCTTGAGGATGTCGCGGCCGTCAAGGAGGGATTGTTCATGCAGCCTTTCGAGGTCCTCGGGGATGTCGGAGGAGATGCGGCGTTCGCGGACACCCTGGGCGATGCAGGCTTCCCAGGTTTCAAAGGTCTCGCGGGACTCGTTGTCGACAACGTATTGTTCGTGGGAGTCGTCGATGCCGGGACTGAAAAAGCCGTGGAATTGCAGGCGGCCAACTTCGTGCAGGTCCTCGAGGCCCGGGCTGCGTTTGATGTGGCAGTTCTGCTCGGTGATGTAGTTTTGGGTGAGTCGCTTGCCGTTCTTGGTGACCCAGATGGGAATGTCGATGGCGGTGTCTTCGTTGTCGGCCATGTGTTGGAGCCAGTAGACGGCATAGGCGGTTGTGTGATGGTGGCCTTGCTGTTGGAATTCGAATACGACGGGCGATCGGTAGCGGTGCTTGACGGGGAGACGGATGGCGCGTCGGTAGTCCTCGCTGGAGAGGTCGTAGGTCATGTTGGATCCTTCGACATGGCACACATGACGAGTGATCTTGCCACTGCTGCCGCCGGTGCGGAGGCGAATCTTGCAGCGATGGTTGAATCCCTTTACGGTGACCTTGTCGGAAATAAAATGGAAGGTGCCGACATCCCAGCCGAGCATCTGTGGGGGGAGACGGGTCTCAACGTGCCGGAAGAGAATAGAGATGCGAATGCGTCCAAAGCCGATGCCGCCAGTGAGAGGGTACCATCTGGTCACTTGTGAGCTGTTCTCAAGGAGCTCCGAAATCTTCAATGGCACCACGCCGAGGATAGGATCGTGCTGGCGATATCGTTGGTCGCGGACGCTAACGGTAACGTAGGCGGACCGCCAGTCTCGGACGAATCGTTCAGTTCCAGCGTTGAAGATAGGCTTGGAGCTTAGGGCTTTGGCACGAGTACGGTAGATCTGCGAGATGTTAGGCGAGATGTTAATATAAAAGAGGGTTTGTGGGGTAGCTTACTAGCTCATCATTGAGAATGATTTTACAGTAGCTCGTAGGCAAGTTCTCTCCAACCTCCTCTTTTTGCTCGCCATACGGTTTGGCTGGCTCATAGTCTCTCCCCTTGCGGTTACCGTGGCTGCCTTTGACGTTCTCGATTTCTAAATTCACGATTTGATGGACCACAATGCTCATGATTCCACTCGGCCATAGCGGATCTGGTGGGGTCTTGGTAATGGCGTCCTCTTGATCGGTACTGATGACACCCTTTTCGTCTTGGAACTCAGGAATGTCCTTGAAGTTCTCCGGTAGATCCTTCTTCTTGCCGTCGGTCCTCAGCTCGGCTCTCAGCTTGGGTTTGCCGAAAAACCCGACCTCCCAGTGCAGTTCTCCCGGCATTTCGCTGCCCTCGTTGAGGCCCTGGAGCTTGGAAACCTGAGCATACATCTTGCCCGGGTGTTGGATCATTTTGCGTATGGGCAATTCCACTTTGCCGACAATGTCGTCCGCGGTGGTCCGATCCGAGTCCCAGAGTTCGACACTCAAAGCTTCGTCCGCCTTGATCAACTCTGGCGTTACGAGCAACGCCGCGGTTTCTTCCCAGACGGGGTTGAGGTCGTCGGTGATTACTCGGGTACAGTACATGGGCTTGCCGTACTTGGAGAAAGAGAGGTTGATGTAAGGGTCACTGCCGCCGCCATAACTTCCACGTCGGTCCTGTTTGCTCAAGCCAATTGCACGATGGATCCGAATCCACATGATGCCCAGTGCCTGGGTCTCTTTGACGATATCGTCACCCTTAAGCATCATGCTAAGATCCATCGTCATTGATTTAGGAGCTGCAAACAGACCGCTGGCCGTAGCAATAGCATAGTTGACGAAGTTGGAGATTAAGGGGAGATTCAGGATGTTTACACCCCAGGTGACCATTGGCATACAACCGGCCTTAATATGGGGAAGTCCAACAAGACTGAACGTCACGTCTTTCATGAACGGGGCCTCGGGCATCATTTGGAACCTGGCGCGGACGGTGCCTACCAGTTCGTTCAACTCCACGAAGACTGGGAATGGAACGCCAAAGAGGCCTTTGATTCCCAGGTAGAAAACAATTTGCATGTGCATGTTGCGCGCCTTGGACGACGTGGTTTGTCCGCTCGGTTTCGCGTGGTAGGCAAAGGAGGCCTCGATGTTGTAGTAGCTGCCGCCCTCCTCAGCAGCTGCCGCCTCCTGAGGGTCTTTATTCTTCACGTTCTCCTCGTGGATGTGATCCTTGAGTTGCTGGACATGAGAGTCCGGAAGAGACCGCAAGCTCAAGATTCGGATAGGGTTGTTTCCCTGATCAATTTCCGCAATCCGAACGTTCTCCACAACACCAGGCGCAGACGCCTGCATGATGTCTTCGATGGTATCCGCAACGGGGGTCAGCATCTCCGGGTTGATGAGGCCCCAGAAGACCCCGAGAAAAGAGTTCATCCATTCTACCGACTCGGGTAGGAGGTTTGCAGTAGCCTGAAAGCGTAACATGTAAGTTTTAGTACCTTATAACGGGGAGCGAAAACCTACCATTTGGCCTCTGATTTGCTCACTACTCCATTCCATCTCCCGGCCGCTTCGAATGAGTTCTTGTATCCATAACCACACACCACTTGCAACGCCGAATGATAACGGCAGTAGGCCCCAGAGCGAGCCGCCAAACATCCGACCAGTGAAGACAATGGCAGCAACAATTCCTAGGCAGAGGCCGATACCACGGCTCTCCAGCTTGTCAAACATGGGTTTATAGGTGACTGTGGGAGTAGGATGAAAGAGAATGTTGGTTTTCTCGCCATGAATAGGAACATCTGACGTGGTGCCTTCTGCGATTGGGTCGGGGGGTGCGGTGATATCTTGGTTTTCTTTATACTGGGAAAGGCTTTGGTTGGGTTCGGTTTTGACGTCCTACGAGATTCCTTAGCTGACGTTCGGTGTTAGATGATTAGATTTATATAGACTCACCGTTGGCTTTCCGAGATTAGCATTTGGCACAACCAGCTATGATTATCATCGGTCAGTGGCATGTTCCACCCTTGTCAATGGGGTATGGATACCTTCGGATCCTTCACTGCTTCCATGGAATCCTCGTCGAGGTCCTCCACTTCAATATCCTTGCCGGTCGTGGGATCGGTCACCATGCGAGTCTTTCCCGTTGTCTTCCGGGGCTTGTGAGCCATTTCCTCTCCCTGTTCCTCCTTCTCCCGCCGCTTGGCCGCCAGGGCTTCCTCATGGGCCTTGCGCTCTTGTTTATCCACCTCTAGACGCTGTAGGAACTTGTCGATGGTCGGGACAGGGTTGGCTCCGCTCCAATGCTCCCCGACGCGGTGAGTCTTGGGTGACTCCCGCCCAGGTTGAGCCTGCGACATGGTTGATAGTGATGGGTTGGTCAGGTACGCAGGGGATATCAGAAGTAAATTGAGTGGCTTATCATCCCTAGCTCCGTGAAGCCGGGACCGCTGTTGATATGGAAAGAGAGCAGAGGAAATGAGAGGGAAGGAGATCTGGTTGTAAGTCTTCTCTCATGCGATGTCAGCCAAGTAAGTGAAGTCAGAGCGAAAGTCAGGTTGGCCCTGCCAGACTGGACTACGTCATTGTGGAGGAGGCGCTGCCAATGGAGCTCGGACGCGTCCGACCATTTGCTGGCACAGGGCTGGGGGGATATTCCGAGCATCCAGACCGGATCTGATGTCGGTCTATTTACATTCTCCACCGGATGGATCTATAACAAGTCGAGGCTGGTTGTTGAGTGGACGGGCTGGCTGCATCCTCTTTGTTTTCCGTCATTCATTCATGGCGGAAATCCGGGGCTTGGCGTGGATGACGGGAATGGCGGAATTTAGAGCTGATACAACGAAAGATAAGGCTGACCGTGTAAAAGCTGACTAGTAGCAATCATCATTGGGAAATTGAGATGCTGTCCTCAAAGGCCAATTGAATGGGGATGGGTGCTGAGGCTTGATGCATAGGCAATTTCCCTTCAAAGTTGATGATGGATGATGGGCAGATGTTCGAGGCGGAAAGGGATGATGTCATCAATGATACCAACATCTTGTAAGGCGATCAAAGAAGTCAATTCTTAACCCCCTGTAATTCATATGCTGATCACAATAAGAATAGTAATCACAGGGCTTTGTGTTAGTGCGAGTAAGGATCTTCCACCAGATCATGCCATTTTTCTTGGAAGGGATTAGCCTGCCTTACTAGCCACAAATTTGAGGCACACAACACTGCCACTCGACTGAGTCACGTTTAAGAATTCTTTTCTAAATAAACTCATAATGTCGCTTCAACATTTTGTACTCTGTAAATATCATCTCAGGTTTAGGTTTCAGTGAGGATGTGATGTCTCCCGCCATCACATGACTGCCCAGGCAACTGCTGAGATCCCAATTTAGTAAATGAACAATCATCGAAAATACATCCTCAGTCCTGGGAATAGCAAACAGCCCCCGTCCATCTTGTAGCGCCAATACATGTTGTGTATAGTCCATTGATATTACTGCATTAATCGTTGTTCTCCCATCGCGGCCAAGACGCACCTTGTCCTACGGGGCCACATTGTTGATGTCTCTTCGACCTTGCATGTACTCGAGTCCTAGGAAGTTAACAACTTACATCCCCAGATTATGCAGTCGTAAGTGAGGAATTGGCTAGATATCACAGGAATAAGTTAATCTTTCATATAGGATCAATATCGAACGAGTCTCTTTTCTCATATTCTTCGGGACGATTCCTATACAACGAGCAGGCACGGCTTCGAGAAGATCCCGTACTGGATATCAGTGCCCAGGATTTACGCAACAGCTAGCGAGGTGGCAACTCTGGCATTTCTTCGCTCTAAGAAGATCCCAGTCCCGGAAGTATATGGCTGGTCTTCGGTCACTGACAATCCAGTCGGTGTGGAGTACATTATCATGGAACACGTCGCAGGTGTCAGTGCTGATACTCGTTGGTTTAATAATACAAAACACCAAAAGCATGCTTTGGTGACAGGCATCGTTGACATTGAGAAGAAGCTTTTCAGCATTCCATTTGGGGCCATTGGAAGCCTTTATTTCAGAAGTGACCTTCCACCCCAACTGCAGGCTCCGCTATATGCAGTGGGCACGCCAGATGAAGCCAGGGACTCCCAGACCTACTGCATCGGTCCAACGGCTGATTATATGTTTTGGTATGGGCAAAGATCTGAGCTGGATCTGGACCGAGGGCTGTGTAAGTTTTCTCTTAGTCTGAAGTACTTCAATGTGCGATGAATGAGCTGATCCTCCTTCAGGGACCGACCCCAAGGACTATCTACGTGCAATTGCCGAAAAGGAAGTCAAATGGATTGAGAGATACGGGAAGCCTCTTGAAAATGGCATTCCTCACAACATCGCATTTCCCGGTGTGAAGCTCCCACAGGATTACCTTGAGCTCCTCAAGAAGTACCTGACAATAGCACCATATCTCCTCCCACGAGAGCAAGGAAATAATTTGAGCAAACCCACTTTGCGACATCAGGGTACGTCTATTCCCAACCCACCCGATAATGTAGTCCGATTGGCTGATGGGTAATGAAGATCCCTAGCAATGTCTTCATATGTCCAGATACATTCAAAGTGAGATCCATTATCGATTGGCAACATACAATCATCACACCGTTGCTTCTTACAGCCGGATATCCCAAGCTATTCGAGAACCCTGACCCAAAGCCCCCCAGTGAGTTGAAACCACCAAAGTACCCTCCGGGCTACGGGACGATGAGTTCCGATGAGCAAGCTCAAGTCGACGAGCTTATACGACGGCAAAGTCTCTTCTACCTCTATCGTGTTTTCAACGGGGGCTTGAACAAGGTACACCTTGAGGCGCTGCGAGATCCTCTCATTCTACAACGTCAGCACCTCGTGGACTCTGCAGGTCGTCAGTGGTCTGGAGATATTGTTACACTACGTGGGGCCCTCATGCGAATGCAAAACCTTTGGTCTTATCTCATTGGCAAGAATCACCATATCAAATGCCCCATAGATTTCTCAGAACAAGAAGTAAATGACCAGGCTGAAAGTGAGCAAACGTGGTACAATCTGAATATACTGATCAATCAATGGCGCGACGAACTCGGTGGGCTCTCAGAAGAAGGGTGGCTGCCTGCTCAGCGGTATGAGGCTGCTATGAAAAGGAACAAATCCTTGATGGCCGAATTCTCTGACGGCGCCAGTCCAGATGAGCTGGAAAAAGTGAAGCGAGGTTGGCCGTTTCAGGATCACGACGAGCTCTACTGACGTTTATCATATGTTTCCACTAGCAGAGGGACACTTCAGGGTTAAGCTGGTGACTGATGATATGTTGGCAGAGGGATCTGTGGTCAGAGATATGAATATACCCAAATTAGTTGGCGGTCACAACCTCTTCTCATAATAAACAATAATATAGCCGCTGTTACTACATGGCACTGCCAGAGATGATCAATAGTAGTACTAGTTGAACATCGTGATGCATGATCATGATGCTTACCCCAGAGATATATATTGAGCTAGTTCAATGTACAGCAAAATTGAACTTAACACTGGTAATATAATTTATACAAGCCATAATTTCTATTCATACAACTAACAGCTCATAATACATATTAACAACTACCAGAACAGCTAATTAGCCACGAACATCCAAACGTACTCCGTACACCACGAAGCTATACACCCACAATCACGTGACCATAATATACCAGCGGAGCCAACCGTCATGCGGCCACCACATCACAGATAATCAGCGATCACCGCCGCCGCAACAACCTGTGGCTCAATTCATTAAATTCTACCTCCACCTTCACCTTATTTCCTGGAGCGGTCTCCAACTGCTCCCACCGACATCTTAAATCTACAACCCCCCCAGAAAGACTTTCACCTTCCCTGGCCCATCAAACAATTCACCCACACCGATTGAACGAACTTACGTCACCCAAAACACCAACCAACGAAATCAACCACCACAACCACCAACGAGTGAACCTCATATACATATACAGAGAAAAAGAAAAGAAAAGAAACCGAGGGAAGGAAGAAAATCATGTCCTCAGCCGAAGAATCCCCCGCTCAACGAGCAGCCCGCCTGCGTCGTGAACGTCGCGAAGCCAAAATCAAAGGCGATGGAGCAGCTCGTCTAGACAAGATTACCAGCTTGAGTGGACGGACTCCTGCTAGTCGTATGTGGCACATTGTTTCTTTTCTCTCTTATGGAATGGAGTCTTAAGCGGAAGAAAGAAATATAGTGTGAAAGCTAACTCTGTATTTACTATGTACAGTCCGCGAAGAAACCTCTCCCTCTCCCTCTCCATCCCCGGCCCCGGCTGCAGCAGCAGCACAACCACAAGCTACCACTACGGCACTGAGTCCTAGCCCGAGCCCGAGCCCGGCCCCCGAACCTCGAATTACACAACCCTCTTTTCCAAGCCAAGGGCCCCAGCAACAGCAGCAGCAAGAACTCGACCCGGAAACCCTCCAAGCGCAACAGGAGCTCTTCCGCGCCCTGCTCCGCCAGTCTGGCCAGCCGGGCGAGTCACCCAGTGGGAGCCCGGGACCTCAAGCAGGAGCAGGACCAGGAGGGATGGGAGGACTAGGTGGTGAAGCGGACGACCCTACCTTGAAACTTCTCTCGAGCTTGATGGCTGGAGACACCAGTGCGTTGGGCGAAGGTTCTTTGCCTGGAGGTCAGTCGCCAGCGGACTTATTAACTGGGTTGGGAGTTCCGCCATTTGTGGCGAGTATGCTGGGGGAGGCGACGCGGAAGAAGAGTGATGAGGAGAAGCGGGAGATTCTGGTGTGGAAGGTGTTGCATGTGGTGTTTTCTATGCTGATTGGGGTGTATTTGTTGGTGTTGATTGGGTCGTCGGTGGCGACGTTTGGGAGTCAGCCGCCGCCGCCGGCGACGGCGCGGAATCCGTTCTTGTTCTTTACGACGGGTGAGGTGGTGCTTACTGGGGCGAGGGTTATGATGAAGAGAGGGGGAGGGGGGCTGGGGTTGTGGGTGCAGTTGGTTAGGGATATTGCCAGGGATGGAAGTATTGTGTTGTTTTTGTTTGGGATGGCGAATTGGTGGCATCGGGAGTGGATGGCTTATTAGATAGGGAGTAGTCCGTAGTGACTGGGGATTGGGTTTGCATGTGGTTATCTTTTCTTTTTGTGGTTATTATGGCATGGATGTTTCTGCTGTGCTTAGGAATACATTATGCAATTCTTGCATTTGCATGTGAAATTGCTGGCATAACGTTTGATAGTTTGATGCTTGCTGGGGTGGTTCTTTTGCCATCGACTAGTATCCTAGGCGGATGCAGTTGCAGTCGCAGCTCCCACGTGCTTAAGTGTAACTGTCCAAAAGTACAATCTAGGGGGTACACTTACGTGCGAGATATATTGGTCGCCCAGTCCGACCCTTTACTATCGTAACGACTCAGTTCTGGCCCGGTTGATTTCTCCTTCGGACTCCGACTGTCCTGTGCGCTGGCTCCCAGAAACGAGGTTGATATTAGCTGTGAAAAGTTGAAAACTTCTCGCGGCGATTACCAATGTCCCACCAAACTTGGCCACAGCAC